CTAAGTCGAATCATTTTTGTCATTCTTCGCTGCCGACTCTAGTGAATTTATATCCATTCTATAATAGGGCACCAGAACTGAACACATGTCGAGGTGCGGCCTAACTAGCGCAGATATAGTTGCAATAAGACCTCTACTCTTGTTACTTACATTCTAGATATAAAACCCAATACAGTGACCCTAGTTTAACGAACACCTCGTTAACGTAATTTCGATTAACGAACTGCCTTCCATAGGGATCTTCAATTCGGTTAACGAAAAATTCGGTTAACGGTTCTCCTGAACCAACCTCAAAATTTTTTTCGCTTGCACTGACGAGCAACCAGCTTTAGTATCAGTCCGCCAATACATTAATCGGGTTCTAGGGCTTAAATTCCTTACTATTTTAGTAAATATCAAGAAGTTTATACTATTCAATAATTTTAAAAGTTTAATATTCAATTTTAGTCATTTTAACAATTATTGAACATAATTGAGTAAAGTGACAAGTTTAATGCACGGCATCCAGCCTCTTAACACAGCAAACAGGAGTTAGTCTCTCTCTGTTTTTCACTGGAGGTAACATCTTGCTTGAGACTCTCTTCAACTAAACGCTTTTCTGTGTTTCCAAGCAAATTATGGTCATTTTGAAATATATTTACATATTGACAATATATAATGCAGCGCCGTGTTGATATAAAAGAAAATAATCTTGAAATACACCAAGAGAACTAAAATTTTATGGATGAAATGGTGCCATGGGGTGACTTCTCTACTCAATGCCTTCTTCTTCCTTCTCCTCCACGCCATTCTAATTCCATCATCATCATCATCATCATCATCATCATCATCATCTCATCATCATCATCATCATCATCCAGGGCCTTCTACATACACACCTCAAATTAAGTGAACTTTTCTACCATTTTTGTTGAATTTAGGAAATTTTCGGTGAGCTGGAACCAATTACCCAAAAACCCATTGAAACAATGGTTTCGGTTAACGAACTTTTCGGTTAACGAACGACCTTCTGGAACGGATTGAGTTCGTTAATGGAGGGGTCACTGTACTCTGTTTGCCTTATTTCGAACATTAACGCACTGTTTTCTAGGCTGTAGGTCCGGGCTTACAAGTACCCCTAGGTTCTCTTTCTCATCGACTTCTCTAGGTTGATGTTGTTAAGGCTGTATACATTATAAGCATTATAAGTTTGCAGGACTCCACTTCAGGTGATAACTTATCACCTGTATAATTTACCTGACACTGTATTTGACACTACCTGACACTGTACCTGACACTGTAATTGACTCTACCTGACACTGTACCTGACACTACCTGACACTGTACCTGACACTAATTGACACTACCTGACACTGTACCTGACATTACTCAACACTACCTGATGCTGTACCTGACACTGTAATTGACTCTACCTGACACTGTACCTGACACTAATTGACACTACCTGACACTAATTGACACTACCTGACACTGTACCTGACACTAATTGACACTACCTGACACTGTAATTGGCTCTACACCTGACACTGTACCTGACACTACCTGACACTGTACCTGACACTAATTGACACTACCTGACACTGTACCTGACATTACTCAACACTACCTGATGCTGTACCCTGCACTGTAATTGACTCTACCTGACACTGTACCACCTGACACTACCTGACACTGTACCTGACACTAATTGACACTACCTGACACTGTACCTGACGCTAATTGACACTACGGACACTGTAATTGACTCTACCTGACACTGTACCTGACACTAATTGACACTACCTGACACTGTACCTGACGCTAATTGACACTACCGGACACTGTACCTGACACTACCTGACACTGTACCTGACACTAATTGACACTACCTGACACTGTACCTGACATTACTCAACACTACCTGATGCTGCCTGACACTGTAATTGACTCTACCTGACACTGTACCTGACATTACTCAACACTACCTGATGCTGTACCTGACACTGTAATTGACTCTACCTGACACTGTACCTGACTACTCAACTGCAGTACTGACATTGTAATTGACTCTACCTGACACTGTACCTGACACTAATTGACACTACCTGACACTGTAGGACACTGTAATTGACTCTACCTGACACTGTACCTGACACTAATTGACACTACCTGACACTGTAATTGACTCTACCTGACACTGTACCTGACACTAATTGACCTGTACTGTACTAATTGACACTACCTGGCCTGTAATTGACTCTACCTGACCTGTACCTGACACTAATTGACGCTGTACCTGCACTAATTGTCTACCTGACACTGTACCTGACATTACTCATCACTACCTGATGCTGTACCTGACACTGTAATTGACTACCTGACACTGTACCTGACACTAATTGACACTACCTGACATTGTACCTGACACTGTAATTGACTCTACCTGACACTGTACCTGACACTGTAATTGACTCTACCTGACACTGTACCTGACACTGTACCTGACACTACCTGACATTACTCAACACTACCTGATGCTGTACCTGATTCTGTAATATCAGGTCTCATCCCGGCTTTTATTAGTTTATGAAAGGGTTCCAGGTCTGCAAACTTCCTGGTAACTCAAAGTTCTCATAAATCCAGCCTTGGTAACTCAAAGTTCTCATAAATCCAGCCTTGGTAACTCAAAGTTCTCAAATCCAGCCTTGGTAACTCAAAGTTCTCATAAATCCAGCCTTGGTAACTCAAAGTTCTCATAAATCCAGCCTTGGTAACTCAAAGTTCTCATAAATCCAGCCTTGGTAACTCAAAGTTCTCAAATCGGCCTTGGTAACTCAAAGTTCTCATAAATCCAGCCTTGGTAACTCAAGTTCTCATAAATCCAGCCTTGGTAACTCAAAGTTCTCATAAATCCTGCCTTGGTAACTCAAAGTTCTCATAAATCCAGCCTTGGTAACTCAAAGTTCTCATAAATCCTGCCTTGGTAACTCAAAGTTCTCATAAATCCTGCCTTGGTACTCAAAGTTCTCATAAATCAGCCTTGGTAACTCAAAGTTCTCATAAATCTGCCTTGCAACTCAAGTTCTCATAAATCCAGGGAACTCAAAGTTCTATAAATCCAGCCTTGGTAACTCAAAGTTCTCATATCCAGCCTTGGTAACTCAAAGTTCTCAATCCAGCCTTGGTAACTCAAAGTTCTCATAAATCCAGCCTTGGTAACTCAAAATTCTCATAAATCCAGCCTTGGGAACTCAAAGTTCTCAAATCCAGCCTTGGTAACTCAAAGTTCTCATAAATCCAGCCTTGGTAACTCAAAGTTCTCATAATCCTGCCTTGGTAACTCAAAGTTCTCATAAATCCAGCCTTGGTAACTCAAGTTCTCATAATCCTGCCTTGGTAACTCAAAGTTCTATAATCCTGCCTTGTGGTAATCAAATTTCTCATAAATCCTGCCTTGGTAACTCAAAGTTCTCAAATCCAGCCTTGGTAACTCAAAGTTCTCATAAATCCAGCCTTGACTCAAAGTTCTCATAAATCCTTGCCTTGGTAACTCAAATTTCTCTAAATCCTGCCTTGGTAACTCAAATTTTCTACTCAGCCTTGGTAACTCAAATCCATAGGAATATATGTATTTATTTATTTATTTATTTATTTTGAGTTTTGGGTAGGTTAGGTTAGCATTAGGGTTGGTAATCTTCAGGTGAAATAAGCTGGGAGGTTATCTTCAGGTATATAAGCTGGGAGGGTTAATCTTCAGGTGAAATAAGCTGGGAGGGGTTAATCTTCAGGTGAAATAAGCTGGAGGGTTAATCTTCGGGTGAAATAAGCTGGAGGTTAATCTTCGGTGAAATAAGCTGGGAGGGTTAATCTTCAGGTGAAATAAGCTGGGAGGGTTAATCTTCAGGTGAAATAAGCTGGGGAGGTTAATCTTCAGGTGAAATAAGCTGGGAGGGTTAATCTTCAGGTGAAATAAGCTGGGAGGGGTTAATCTTCAGGTGAAATAAGCTGGGAGGGGTTAATCTTCAGGTGAAATAAGCTGGGAGGGTTAATCTTCAGGTGAAATAAGCTGGGAGGGGTTAATCTTCAGGTGAAATAAGCTGGGAGGGTTAATCTTCAGGTGGCAATGGGGGATATAATTGATTATCTTGAAACAATTCCATGATTTAAGTGTGTGTGTTGTGTGTGTGTGTGTGTGTGTGTGTGTGTGTGTGTGTGCGTGTGTGTGTGCGTGTGTGTGTGTGTGTGTGTGTGTGTGTGTGTGTGTGTGTGGTACAGGGCTGCGGCGACAGAACAGTCATCTAATTTTATCCCAACTCTCACACACATGGCCTTGGGGGTGAGGGAGGGAGGTGTACCTTATGCTCACTCCAGCGCCTTCACCACCTCACTCTAACGTTCCATATACATTAACCTTTATTTAAATGTTTATATAATACAGAACTATATATTATACTTAAGGTAATTAACCCTCCATCATCTGGTTAATGTTTGAGGTTAATTTAGATAGATATTGGATGTATAATTTATTCAGTTAGGGGTTTATTCTATGTTGGGCCCCGTCAGGAGCTTAACAGTGTTGTTTCTCGCTAACGCTCAATCGGTGGCCTCAGTTTCCTATACATTTCAGGGACTTTGTTTTGTAATTCTTCTGTAATAAATTATCGTGTTTCTGTAATTTACTGATAATTGTGAATTATTTTAATATTTACATGTTTTAAATTAGCAATACTAGTTTAATAAATTCGCTCTATATCAGAATTTATTATAAAAACTCTAATAATCCTTTAAAATAATTATTATAATCCTAAATTATATATAAATTATCGATAGATTATAGAAATTATTAGATTTTTCGAGTAATGTTGAACGCTAGTGGAGAGAGAGAGGGAGGAGGGGCCCTAGAGTGAGCATAAGGGGAAGTGAGGGACGACGCCATTGATTGTGTGGGGGGAGGGGGAAGGGGGAGGAGGAGAGAGATGGGATGCTGTGAGGGGAAAAGGAGGAGGTGTCGCCTTAGTGTTGAGTTGAGTGCCGTGGGTGGTGGATGTCGATTACTTTTTTTGGGAGTCGTTCACCACCACCGCCTTATATTTTTTTTATTGTGTTGTGTCGTAGTTAACTTTTATTGATGTTTTAAAAAGTTGATTGGTGATGCGTTTACGAATTTATTTGTTGTTTTAATTGTAACTATCTACTCTTTGTATGGTGACCTGACCTGGCCTGACCTGACCTGGCCATTAGTTTCCGTGAGGCGAGTTTGTGTTTAAATGGTTCTTAAATTGATGTGGATATTTTAATAGTTTGTGAAATTTTGTGCCTCGTCAGCTTGAGTTCAGCAATTAGGTTTTTGCCACGGGTCAAACCAGCTCAAGTTCTCTTCAGGCAACAAGTTAAGCTAAGTTTACTCAGCTTTGTCCACCTATCATGTGGGTCAGCTTAACTCCCGCTTAGTCAAGAATAACCTGGATTTCATCACCCTGAGAAATTAAGCTTCACCGCCGCCATGATGCTGGTCAGCTTAACGCCAGCTTGACACCCGCCGTTCCCCTTCCTGGGTAAACAAGATGACGGTCTCACTGTTAAGCTTAGTGTTTTGGTCTGTAGTTCTTGCACTTGATCACTGCACCATAGCACTGTCGTTGCATCGCCTCTGCACGCCCGCCCACACGCCCATCACAGCATGTATGGCTTCCAGAGTGGGCGGCTGGTTACCACCCTCTGGACCAGCGCCGCCCACACCAATTGGTTACTCATTCTCTTTCAGGTAAGTTCTTTGGAGCACCTCACGCCCACAACCCTCACGCCCACAACACTCACGCCCACAACCCTCGCCCAAACCGCCCCCAACCCTCCGCCCACAACCCTCACGCCCTCAACCCTCACGCCCACAGCCACCACGCCCACAACCCTCCGCCCACAACCCTCCGCCTCAACCTCCGCCCTGCCCTCACCCCCACAACCCTCACGCCTCAACCTCACGCCCACAACCTCACGCCCACAACCCTCCGCCCACAACCCTCACGCTCAAAACACTCACGCCCCAACCCACCAAGCTCCTCGTCTTTGAGAGAGACGCACACACACAGACGTACACAGTTACACACACACACAGACGTACACAGTTACACACACAGACATACACAGTTACACACACACAGACGACACACAGTTACACACAGACGTACACAGTTTTACACAGGCGTACACATTAACACCAGACGTACACTGTACAGATGTACACAGTTACACACACACATACACAGTTACACACACACACGACGTACACAGTTACACACACACAGACGTACACAGTTACACACACACATACAGTTACTCACAGGGCCTTTTGTTACTCACACACACAGACGTACACAGTTAACACACACACAGACGTACACAGTTACTTACACACAGACGTACATAGTTACACACACACAGACGTACACACACACGAGAGCGTACACAGTTCACACAGACGTACAGTTACACACACACACACACAGACGTACACAGTTACACACACACACACACACACAGAGACGTACACAGTTACACACACACACAGACGTACGTTACACACACACACACACACACACGAGGCGTACACAGTTACACACACACACAGACGTACACAGTTACACACACAGACGTACACAGTTACACAGACGTACACAGTTACACACACAGACGTACACAGTTACACACACACACACACACAGACGTACACATTAACACGCACAGGCGTACACTGTTACACACACACACAGACGTACACAGTTACACACACATACACAGTTACACGCGCACACACACAGACGTACACAGTTACACACACACATACACAGTTACACGCACACACACACAGACGTACACAGTTACACACAGACGTACAGTTACACACACACACAGACGTACACAGTTACACACACAGACGTACACAGTTACACACACACATACACAGTTACGCACACACACACAGACGTACACAGTTACACACACAAAGACGTACACAGATACACACACACGACATACACAGTTACACACACACACACAGACGTACACAGTTACACACACAGACATACACAGTTACACACACACACACAGACGTACACAGTTACACACACAGACGTACACGTTACACACAGACGTACAGTTACACACACACAGCATTGCAGTTACACACAGATGTACACATTAACACACAGACGTACACTGTTACACACACAAAGACGTACACAGCTACACACACACAGACATACACAGTTACACACACACACACAGACGTACACAGTTACACACAGACATACACAGTTACACACACACAGACATACACAGTTACACACACACAGGCGTACACAGTTACACACACACAGACGTACACAGTTACACACACACACAGACGTAAACAGTTACACACACAGACGTACACAGTTACACACACACACACAGCCGTACACAGTTACACACACACACATCGGACGTACACAGTTACACACACACAGCCGTACACATTTACACACACACACAGACGTACACAGTTACACACACAGACATACACGTTACACACACAGACATACACAGTTACACACACAGACGTACACACTTACACACAGACACGTACACAGTCACACACACAGACGTACACAGTCACACACACACAGACGTACACAGTCACACACACACACAGCCGTACACACTTACACACACAGACGTACACAGTCACACACACAGACCTACACACTTACACACAGACTTAAACACACACGCAGACGTACACACTTACACACACAGACGTGCACACTTACACACACAGACGTACACACTTACACACACACACACAAACGTACACACTTACACACACAGACGTACACACTTACACACACAGACGTACACACTTACACACACACACAGACGTACACACTTACACACACACAGACGTACACAGTTACACACACACACAGACGTACACACACACACAAACGTACACTGTAATCTCTCATAGGAGTCATTTTGGTTTGTGCAGGACAATAAGACCCTTGTCGTTGACCCGATGAGTATAGTTGGGTCAAAAGCTGTTAAGGAACATATAACAACTGCTGGTACATGAGGTCACAGTTTGTAATATACAGAACATAATTACACTTATTAAAGTTGTCAGAGGATTGAACAGGTCACTGGGTCTAATATAATGTGTTGCCAGAGATAGGCTGTCCCTCACACAGCTCCGCCTTGTAAACAGCTTCTTCACTTAACATGTGTGGTCATAACATACACACACAGTCACACACACACAGACGTACACACTTACACACAGACACGTACACAGTCACACACACAGACGTACACAGTCACACACACACAGACGTACACAGTCACACACACACACAGCCGTACACACTTACACACACAGACGTACACAGTCACACACACAGACCTACACACTTACACACAGACTTAAACACACACGCAGACGTACACACTTACACACACAGACGTGCACACTTACACACACAGACGTACACACTTACACACACACACAGAAACGTACACATACACACACACACAGACGTACACACTTACACACACAGACGTACACTTACACACACACACAGACGTACACACTTACACACACACACAGACGTACACAGTTACACACACACACACACACACACACAGAAGTACACAGTTACACACACACACACAGACGCGTACACACTTACACACACAGACGTACACACTTACACACACACACAGACGTACACACTTACACACACACACAGACGTACACACTTTACACACACACACAGACGTACACACTTACACACACACAGACGTACACACTTACACACACACAGACGTACACACTTACACGGAACGTACACACTTACACACACACACAGACACGTACACACTTACACACACAGACGGCGCACGTTACTGAACGTACACACTTACACACACAGACGTACACAGTCACACAGACGTACACACTTACACACACAGACGTACACACACACAATATACGTCAGTTAGTGTCTCCTTGGTTGGTCTTTGTGCGTCGTTTGAGACTACTGAATGACCTTGTTAACATCTGACCAGCTACCAGATGGTTGGCTGGTCAGTTGGGCCCTAACCTAACTACCACCATCACCACTGGCCTACACCATGGAGCACCACTAACACCGCCACCACTACCCACCACCACCCGCCACCACCACCCACTACCACTACCACCATCGACACCACTAACACCACCACCACCACCACCGCCACTAGCACCAACCACCACTACCACTTACCACCGCTACCGCACCACCACCACCACTAAACCACCACCACCACCACCACCACTAACACAACCACCACCACTACCACCACCGCTACCACCACCACCACCACCACCACCACTATCATCACAGCATGGTGTGTGTAGGTAGGGGGTGACTCAGCATTCCTATATTAAAGGTGAATCGCCCATCAGGTGTCCAGCCTTACTGAACCTAACCTAACCCGCCTGTCGGAGCTGCCTTGTTCCCGCTCTTATTCTACATACATACATACATACATACATACATACAGTACATTACATACATACATACATACATACATACATACATACATACATACATACATACATTCATACATACATACACAGTTGTGGTAAATCTTTCAAAGCTGATAACTCTCTCTCTCTCAGCATTATCATATGGTCAGAAGTTAAGCTGAGAGAGAGAGAGAGAGAGAGAGAGAGAGAGAGCCACAAGGCCAGTGCCACAGTGCCAATAGTCACCCAACAGGCTTGTGAAGGTAATGAAAGGTTCTGGCACTCTTAGACACGACTCGACCTGTTTGGCGGTGTCTTGGTAGTGCCAGATGCGGTTAAAGGTTAGGCTGTGTGGTGTAATGGTTAGCATGTTCGCCTCTCAAGTGACTGGTCCCAGGTTCGGTCCCCGGACAGGGTGAAACTATGGTCAAGTTTCTTTACGCCATTTGCCTCTGTCTACCCAGCAGTAATTGGGGACCTGGATGTTAATCGATTTGCTGATTGTGTTCCGGGGTAATGGTTAGCCAGTGCAGTTGGCGAGTTGTCCGGTCTTCTCGGACTATTCCTTGACACTGGGTCATGCAGCTCGTTAACTCAGGGTGTGGTTGTTGTGTTGGTGACAGCTTCTACACCTTAAACACCGGGTCATGCAGCTCGTTAACTCAGGGTGTGGTTGTTGTGTTGGTGACAGTTTCTACACCTTAAACACTGGGTCATGCAGCTCATTAACTCAGGGTGTGGTTGTTGTGTTGGTGACAGCTTCTACACCTTAAACACTGGGTCATGCAGCTCTGTTAACTCAGGGTGTGGTTGTTGTGGCGACAGCTTCTACACCTTAAACACTGGGCCGCGCAGCCTGTTAACTCAGGGTGTGGTTGTTGTGTTGGCGACAGCTTCTACACCTTAAACACTGGATCATGCAGCTCGTTAACTCAGGGTGTGGTTGTTGTGTTGGCGACAGCTTCTACACCTTAAACACTGGGTCATGCAGCTCGTTAACTCAGGGTGTGGTTGTTGTGTTGGCGACAGCTTCTACACCTTAAACACTGGGTCATGCAGCTCGTTAACTCAGGGTGTGGTTGTTGTGTTGGCGACAGCTTCTACACCTTAAACACTGGGTCATGCAGCTCGTTAACTCAGGGTGTGGTTGTTGTGTTGGCGACAGCTTCTACACCTTAAACACTGGTCATGCAGCTGTTAACTCAGGTGTGGTTGTTGTG